TCTTCCCACGAAAGTGAAGAAGACCACCGGAGACAGCCCACTCGTCGGAGCGCGAGGAGCGGGGGCCTCGAGCTTGACCTTGGACCTTTAGGAGTTGCCGGGCCGCTAGTGCGACGGGCTCCTCCAGGTCAGGCTCACCGGAGAGGGCATCGCGGATGTCGCGAAGGAGTTCAGAACCAGGGCCGGAAACGGAAACGCCTTCGAGAGCGTGGACATGGAAGAGTTCGGGCCGCAGAAGGACGACGTCGGAGTTGTCGGAATCGATTCCGTGGTCTGGTCTCCGAGAGAGGGCGTCAGGTCGGCCCATGTCGCGGCCGGGCTTGTGGTGCAGCGTGAAGTCGAACCGGGAGAGGTAGAGGGACCAGCGGGCCTGTCTCCGGTTGAGGTGCTGCGTCTTCCTGAAGTACTCCAGATTCTTATGGTCAGTCCAAATCTCGACGGGATGCGCGGCGCCCTCGAGGAAGTGTCTATACTCCTCGAGTGCGCGGATGATCGCGAGCATCTCCTTGTCGTGGATTTCGTAGTTGCGCTGGACATCATTTAAGCTTTTGGAATAGAATGCTACAGGGTGCCACTTCCCGTCCGGGGCGGATTGTGAAAGAACCGCCCCCGTCGCATAATCAGAGCTGTCCGCCTCAAGTCGGAAAGGCCGTGCGTCGTCCGGAATCGCCAGGACCGGTTCCGAGGTGACTGCGTCCTTGATCGCTTGGAACGCGGAGGCCTCCGCGTCGCCCCAAGTCCACTGCTGGTCCTTCTTGGTGATCAGGATGTCGTCAAGGTAGATCATGACGTCTCCGGAGAGGATGAGGTCCTGGAAAATGTCATTCATCATCGTTTGGAACGTCGCGGGAGAGTTTGTCAGGCCGAAATACATCACCAAGGGCTCGAACAGGCCTCGGTTAGTCCGGAAAGCCGCTTTCCACTCGTCACCTTCCTTGATCCGGACGTTGTTGAAGCCCCAACGGATGTCGAGTTTGGTGAAGTAACGAGCGCCTTTGAGCCGGTTGATGAGGTCGTTGATCAGCGGAAGGGGGTACCGGTTTTTGACAGTCATCGCATTGAGAGCACGGTAGTCCTGGACGAAGCGGAGTCCGCCGTCCTTCTTCTTGACGAAGAAGACCGGAGACGCCATCGGAGACTTGGAGGGGCGAATCTGGCCCGTCGAAAGCCCTTCCTCGATGAACGTCGAGCTCGCGTTGCTCGGGGGCGAGATGGGGTACACCTTGCAGTTGGTGGGCTTAGCGTCGGGGACGAGTTCAATGGCGTGGTCCCAGGCTCTCCGCTCCGGTAGCATGTCGAAGGACTCCTTGTTGAAGACGTCCTGAAACTCCTTAGCCCAGTCCGGGATCTCGGAGGGCGCAGGGGCGGAGTTCCTGGCGAAGGCTTCGGCCAGGCGCTGTGAGACAGTACTGCCAGCGCGTATCTCCTCCGAGGGGCAGAACGAGGTGTAGAAGATGCGGTCACCATCTTCAAGCTGACCATCGTCTTCATCATCGTCGGAATCCGGCATCAGATCAGGCAGGGCGGAGTCGTCACCGGAGACGGAATCGTCTCCGTCGTCAGGCCCAGAGAGGTCCATGGTGCAGACCGAGGGGAACGGGCCGGAGCGGAGTCGCTTCTGGAGCAGCCGGAGTCGCCGTAGCTCAGTCCGTTCAACGCGTTCTTCCTCGCGGCAAGTGGAGCAACCGCGGGGGCACCGTGTCATCTTGACCTCCTTGGTTTCCCAATTGATTTCCGGGTTATGCTTCCGCAGCCAGGAGTACCCCAGAATAAGGTCTTGTTTACCAAGATGAGTGACGGCGAGTTGAACATGCTCGGAATGGCCTTTGTAGCGTAAGACCAAGTCTGCGATCTGGTTGATGGAGCCGGCGTCGTTCGGAGTGCCATCAACGTTAAAGACCGGAATCGGTTGCGCCAGGGTGCGGACCGGAATGCCATTCCGAGCGACATAGTTCGTGTCGATAAAGTCGGAGGTGGCACCACAGTCAACCAGGCCAGAGAGCGAGAGCTTAAGCGCTGGTAGTGGACTCTAGCTCCAACGGGAGGTGGAGGGAGTTCACTCCAGGGGAAGCAGCGACAGTGTACTGCTTGGGCAGTTTCTTTTCCCAGGCAGTGAGGCGGCGAAGGACGATGACCGGAGTCGCGGGCGAAGTCGGAGACGGAGTCGAAACGGGGCGGGGAGGGTATGTCTTTTGTTTCAGGCTCGTTGTAGGGCAAAGGAATTGATTCGTCATACAAACAAGCGAAACGATTTACGGACGCGAACGAGGGCACACCAGTCACTCGTCGCGGGGGACAAAATCCTCTCCGGCCATCGACTCCGCGGCTGTTTCCGGCAGCGCAGCTGTGTCCGAGTAGCGGGCGATCAACTCCGCTAACATCTCGTCACCGAGTTGTTGGATCACCTCGTCGAGGATGTCCATCGAGCGGACATCGGCGGGGAGGGGGCAATCCCGGGCGAGATGGTTTGGGTCGCCGCACCTGAAGCAGGCGCGACGAGGAGCACCCCGAGCCCTGGTGCGATCCAACTCCATAGGGACGGGAGCTGGAGGCGCCGGAGCGGGGGCACGGGCTGCGGGTGGCATGACCGGAGCCACCGGGTGGAAGAGGGCCGGAGCCGGGATGCGGTTGACCAGAAACGGAGTCCGAATCAAACCGCCAGGCGTCTTGGGGGCGGCTGACTTGATCAGCTTGGCCCGGACCAGGGCCTCGTATTGACGGAAGGCCCGGGTGCGCCAGCTAAGGTAGTCCCGGAGGTCCGGGGGTCGTTCGAGGACGTGATTCCGTTGTTGATCAGGGGGTCAAGTCCGTGGCGGAACTTGGTCACCTTGACCAACGCGTCTTCGAATCCGGCGAGGTCCATCAGGTCCTCGAAGTCGTCGGTGTACTGGTAGACATCCTTTGTACCCATGTGATAGGCGGAAGTCTCCAGCTTGGAGAGAGCGTGATCTTGCTCATTCTCCTCGACGAACCGGAGTCGAAACTCGGAAACGAACAAGCCCCAGGATGGAAACGGAAACGGGGCTTTGCTTCCGTGGCGCTCCGCCCATTGCTGAGCGGGTCCTTCTGCCATAAACGACATGGCATAGCGGACGGCCTTTTCCTCGCTCGCCTCTCCGTTGACCACGAAGGCCTCAGGGGCAAGGCGGGCGTAGGTGCGGACCGCATAGAGAAAGCGCGGCCCGCGTTTCCGGTCGCCGTTGAAGGTGAACGGAGGGTTTGGTCGCAAGACCAATTTTGAGGCGAGGTTGATGTCGCCAAAGAGGGCCTCGGAATCGCCCTGAACCGGAGTCGGAGTCGGAATCGACGTCTCCGGGGTGGTGTTCTTTTTGGGGTCCGCCAGCAGTATTAGCGGCGGCAGCGGCAGCGGAAGCCTGGGTGGTGAGAAGAGTAAGGGCCTCAGTTAGGCGGTCGATTTTCGCCTCGAGTGCATCCAGCCGAGTGTCAGCGTCAGGAGTAGCTCCGGAAGGCATGACAGGTGCGGGGATGACAGGAGTGACAGAGGAGGAGGGGACAAGTGGTAGGGGGGGTGACGAGGGCGGAACGGACTCGTATTCCGAGCCTGAGTCAGCGCCCGAACCTAGCAATCTTGTCCGGTTGATCCCGTAGAGAGTTTCTTCTGCTGTAAGGGCAACCCCGGAGGCCTGAGATCAAGGTCCTAGCAGGGGAGGATCCAAAGAGTGAATAGAAGTAAGCAAATACAAGTGAGGCTGACCTAGCAGGGGAGGATCCAAAGAGAAGAAACTCTAAGGGTCCGCCTGCTTGGTAGCGGAACTATATACTGCGCTCTTGACGCGCCAAGGTTGATCGTTGCTCCGTGCAGTATGCCTGCGCCATGTCGCAGGCCAGGTCCCAGGGGGATCGCCAGGCGGGGGCGGCGATGCGCCTGACGGAGGCGGTGATGCGATCACCGGAGTCGGAGCCGGAGTCGGACCGGAATCGGAATCGTCTCCGAGGGGCCGAAAGGGAGGTTCCCCTGACATGAATAAAATACAACAGTACATGTCACATAGGGTAGGGTGGTTTGCTGAAGTGAAATTTCACTTTTTGGACTTGTGTCATTGAATTAACCCCCCTCCCTTAACACCCTTGACACATTGTTTTTTGACATAATAAATATTGCTAGATTAACTAACTACTTGTGTCCACAATGTATATATAGGGTGTTAACTGGTGATCTTCCCCTATCAGAGACCTTGATAGCACTATTATCCAGCTGCTTTCACTCCTCAATTGGTAGAAGGATATGTGTCAAGTTCACCCCAGCACCAGGGCTTCTTATAAGACTGACCCTGAGCTTGTAGTGCTTCTATATCATGCTTTCCAGCATAGTGCTAGAGGAAAAAAATTACAGGGCCATGTGTCAGCTGTCAAAGTCACAAGATCTCATTGACACATCATGATATAAGATCTTAATTAACCCTCCCCCACTTAAAGACCTTGCATCCTAACCCTTAAATATAAGTTAAATTAACCCTCCTAAGGGTGCTTAGCTTATTAAAGCCTTAGGCCTTAAGGCGAACACTGGTTTAGGAGCCAATACTCAGGGGATTGAATATTGACAAACACTTAAGCCTGTCGTGCAGCTGTGTAGTTATCCTGGATATACTTGGAAAAAAATTTCAATTGTTCCGATGCCAATATAATTACCGGAAATGACCAATCCCATGGCATCGTGAGAGGACTTGCTGATTGATGTCACCGCTCTAGGCCCTGGGACCACGTGGCGGGACCTTGTGCTTCCTTCCATCTTCCCCGATGTCGATGGGGACGCAACATCTACATCCCTCTTTGCGAAGAGCAAGCGACTCGACCGCCACGACTAACGCGAGCAAAACGCGAGCGCCACCATTCTGCTCGCCAATCAGGCCGAGTCAGCGCCTACGGCGTTTGGGCGCCGTTCTCGGACATGTCATCAACACACCACTTAGGCGCCTGGGTCGCATTTTCCTCCCTCGTTTGTTGCTTTCCGTTCCCCTCACTTTTCTCCCTCCCCCACGATGGCCACCGCCACGGACGACGCATACGACCGTTACTCGGCGCCGTCCCCGCCTACCTCGCCCTCCCCACTATCTCCTCTCCGCCACAACTCGACCAACCTGTCGACACGGGTGCCCCGCAAGACGCGCAGTATCCAGCTCTGGGTGCCTGGAGCGTTGGTGGGCTGCACCGTCCTGGCCGCTGCTGTCGCCATTGCGCACCACGTGTTCGACAGCAAGCTGGATGGACGCGCTGTTGATGACACCCTCAGCCAGTCGTGGGCGGGCAGGATCGAGATTGGGTTAGCGACGCTCTTCCGGTTCCTGTTCACCTTTTCTATCGGAGTGAGCGCGTGTCAGATGGTGCGTAGCCTTCCTTCAAGTTTCTCTGGCTTATGTTTGGGGATAGGCTTGGTACTATCTGCGGCGGAAGTCATGGTCCCGTGCGCACTTTTCGTTTCGTTGCTCTTGGTTGTCCTAACACCAATTGTTGGCAGTTCACGACGTTGACGCCCTCCTGGGCTCGCCGTCTCCTTTTGCCATTCCGCGCATCCTTACGCGGACACCTTTAATGGTCATAATGTGGGTCGCCTTGCTAGGCTCCTCCGCGATCACGATTCTCGCGCCATCTCTTTCTACGACAACGGCTCCTACCGCGCCCATGACGCTCACCGTTCCTACTTTAAACACGACCACGGATGCAATCATGACTGACATATTCTCCGGGTGCGTTTCACCTTCGCGCCTCAGCCGTCATTGACACGAAGCAGGTTTCAAGGCGGCTATGGCGCCATTACGCCAGAATGGGACAAGGCCGCGCTGACTTCCTTGCTGTCCACTGAGACGGTCGGATGGCCGATTCCCGCTGGCTGCTCTCCCGCCTGCAGCTACGACTTCACTTATGCGGCTCCAGCGCTTTCGTGCCGCGACCTTGCGCCCAACGAAATCTCGGATAATGTAGAAGCGCACTACCGCCCTATTGCGCGCAACTTTACCGACCCGCCAACGACTTACCTCCTTGCTTACGACGTGGACATGACCGCCGCGGGCTACCGCAAGTCTGCGCTCAACCTGACGATGCAGAATGCGTGGAATGTCAACAACAGCCTGTACACCTGGACGCTCGCATGGCTGCCGTATAACCCGATCAACATGGCGGGAAGCACGACACAGCTCATCAACGCTGCCGGTTCGTTCTGCACCTTCATGAACGCGACCTACTCCGCGGCGACGAAATACTCCAACGGGACGCAGACCACTTCCACCAAGGTGGTCGAATGGCATAATCCGCTGAACCTGACGTACAAGCGCGACACCACCACGATCGACTTCTTCGCCGGAAGTGCTGATTCGAAGACGATGTACGGCCCTGGAGTGGGTGGACACGTGCATCTAATCGCCATGGCGGATGCGATATCTGCGCATTTGGCGGGCAATGTAACGAGTAACGGTCGCGGCACTTTGACGAGCACAACATTGATCCCTGAGACGAACATCTTTGCGCCGTTTGACGACAGTGCGATCCTCAGCGGGCTGAATACTACAGTAGGAGTTACAAATGTCTCACTCGGTGCGAATTCTTTTATTATGCCCGAAGTACAACTGATTCCGGGCTTCAGCACTCACCCAGCTTGTCGCCAACGCCACGCTCGGGTTTGTGCGCCTCAATACCGGCAAGACACAAGTCTCCGCGCTGGTCGTCTCTTCCTCCTTGCACTATGTGTACCACCCCACCTCGCTCGCGGCAACCTACGCCATCGGGTTTGGAATTCTCCTCGTGCTCAACGTCCTTGGCCTCTTTGCGATCCGCACAAACGGCGAGACGTCCGACAACCACTTCTCGCGGCTCCTGCTCGTGTCGCGTAACCCCGAGCTGGACCGCATCGCCCCCGCCGTGGTGGGTCAGCCGGTGGACGGCGTGCCGCCCAAGCAAGTCAAGCTCCGCTTTACCCCGGATCTCAGCGAAGAGCATCCTGTCGAAGGCGCGTGGGTGTTTAGTGTCGCACAGGAAGAGATGATGGGTCGTGTGCGTCGCCGGACGATGAGCAAGGCCGGCGCCGAGGGGAGCGATGGGTCGTTCGAAGTGAAGTAGTTCGACTTCCGAGAGTCCATTTCTCAGCATCGCAAACTTCAGTTTAACCACGGTTACGATAATATACTCCCATCGTGCTTTATGAAACGATACATTCCAATATATATACACCGTCACGCTCTCCAAATGCAATGGCCAAGTGATGATGGCTCGACGTCGCTCTCTTGATGAAATGACAATGATTAGAACGGCAGAAGTTCTACTTCCGTCCGCAAGCCAAGCCTTCCAATGATCTTCAACACATTGTGGTCGACGCTCCCGAATTGCTCCAAGTCCAAATACATGTTGTGTGGCACCACCCGGATCGTAAGCAGCGGCGTGAACCCGGCCTCGGCCCATGAACGGAGGAGCGGCACCAGCATCGCAGCGTGGCGACAAAGCGGCCGGGCTGCTTAGGATACCGAAGGTCCGCCGCGTTCACACAGATCTCCAGGATGAGATGCGCCAGTGAGCCGCAGTGAACAAGCGGAGTGAGGAGGTCGTGCAGCCATTGGCCAGGATGGTAGTAGTGCGCTTTGCTGTCAAAGAGAAGCTGAAGTTGTATTTTCAGCGTTTTTAGTCGGGTCAGGTGGCCCAGGGCAAGTTTGCAAGTCTCCGCTGTCAATGTTCAGATGAAGCTGAGCAGGTCACCACGACAACAAAGACTACGGACTGTGCTAATGTTCCAGAATGATAGTCAGAGTCTCGACATCGAGGGCGTCACAGAGAAAACCTGCTTGTGTCGCTTCTTCACACTCCGTGCTTTGGAGAGTGAATTCCATATGCCGGAGGACAGATAACAATGTGGCGATGTACTGAATCATCTGTGTATCGTCAATTTTGAGGCTTAACGATCTGACTAGGAGACGATTCCGAGTCGAAGTTGCATGGATGGCCGGAGGGTTGGAATGTTCAACCATTGATTGCTCTTGGACACTGATCTCCCATAACGACAAATGCTGGAGTCGTGTTCGACCCGCTGAGCAGAGGACGCCGCGTAGGTCCGAGGGCTTCGTGAAGGAGACGCCGTGCACTGCCAATGATCTGATAGTTGGTTGGCCCATAGTGTGAACCAAGGCCGCTTGTGCCGGAGTAGAAAGCTTCCACCAATAGAGTGCAGTTCCCGCCAGATGGAATCCCCGCAATGTTGAATCCAGGAGGACCGTGTTCAGACGTTCGAAACGGAGAAGAACCTTGGGGAGCGCTTCTTCTTCCATCCACAACGGAATGGTGTCAAAGGCGCCCGAGCGTATGGTCAAGTGTCGCACAAGCTGACTGATGTGTGGGGATTCGTTCTGGAGGTCATCGAGCCTCGGAACACTGAATGGGCCAGCTGGGGCAAGCTTGGAGGGCGGCAAGAGCTCGAAAGACTCGAATAGAAGCCTTTGCGCCGAAGCGCAGAAGCTCCGAGACACCAGTGAGCAGGATTTGAGAGTTGCTGTATCATCTACAGCAGCCTGAGCCACGATGTCATCGATGAGCTCTTGAGAAAAAGTACCACCCGCATCTCGAAATCGTCAACACTGGCAGGGAAACCGGGAGTTCGTTCGAAAGGATGTTATCGCCTGATGGTCGTCACCATAAGCTTCTCGCAGATCTTTAACTTGAGCCGCCGCAACATTCATCATGCCACTCGAGAAAGTATCGTCGTAACTCGTTGTCACTTCCAAGGCGCATCAACAGACATCTTCCTGAACAATCCTACAGCTTGGCAGCGTGCTTGGCAACAAACGCCACACCACCACCCAGTACGACCTTCCCCGTCGTCAAATTCTTCGTCTGGAAGGCCAGCTCAATGGTGCCCCCCGGGCCCTTGCCCACCTCCCACGCCTGTGTCTCGAGCTTGTCACCCGGCTTCACAGGACTGGTGAACCTCACGCCAAACAGCTTCAAACTGCGCGGATCGCCCCCGCCGGCAGTCTTAATCAGGGCCCTCGCGGCGAATCCGAACGTAGAAAGACCGTGAAGAATAACACCACCGAAGCCGGTCTTTTTGCCGATCGCGGGGTCGATGTGAAGGGGGTTGTAGTCGCCGCTGAGCCGGAAAACGAGTGCCTGCTCGGTTGTAGTTTGGTCCGTGAAGGTGTAGTCGGCGAGCCTGTCTTTCGGGATGGGTTTGCCTTGTGGCGGGCCAGCGATGTACTTGGAGTATGCTTCGCCGCGCGCCTTCGCGCCAAGGTTGAATGAGGAGCTCTGGAGGGACAACATTGGGTATGAGGGTGCAGAGATGGAGGGAACGCACGTAGAGCTTTGCGTATGCTACACCGCTCGGGTCAAGCAACGTATTTTCCGCGGTAAGCACGATTCCGCTCTCTGTGACGATTGTTAAGAAGGACAACGGTAAGACACGACAACGCACTATTTTCCGCCACGCCGACATACTTTGTTGTCCATGTCCATCCGGGGCCACTGACAAGAGGAAGCTCCTTCAGAATCTGAATCGACTGGGCGCCGTGTACCTGAACAAAGTCAAGTCAGTTTTGGTCCCGGTTGACTCGCGTTCCCGCACCCCTCGGTTGGGGTCCAGCGGAGGCATAGACGGAATGGGCTTCGCCATTATCGTTTTCGCGAATAGGTTGAGCTCCTGCGAGTCGCCCTTGAACGGGAGCACAACGGGGTAGGTCGGGAGGGCAGCGAAGGAGTCGTCTGGGAAGGAGATGAGAATGCGGAGTAGGACAGGGAAGGGCGTACGGAGTTCTAAAGAGAGGTTAGCGGAAAAGACCGGGCCACAGGAGCGACGTACCATAGGCAATATTGAGGTCATCCGCCTTTGCGCCAACGCCAGCAGCATACGTGAGTAGGTCGCGCTTATTCCACGAGACCTATGGGTGTGACGTGTCAGCCGTGCCATACGGTAGAGGAGAAAAGGTGTGGGGCAAAAGAAGGAGAACGCACGGGCTTGGGTTCGAGCTCGAAGCCCACAACTTGCGAGAGGTCGGCGGGCATGGTGGGGGAGGAAAGGAATAGTGCTGGCCATAAATAAATATCTTTAAATAAATATTGAATATATTCTAAATATTATGGATATAATATGATGTTAGTGAGGACCTTGAATATTAATATACCTGAATATAATATGATATCTGTCTAGGAATATTCAATTATACTTGAGTATTGAACTACTCTAGCATGTCGGCCGATAGCTGTCGTGACCCGTGAGTCGGCCGCTGACTGATAGATTATTCATCAGCATCTGATCAGCATCAGCATTGCCACTGCCACGTAGCATCGACCACGAGGGATGGCCACACCCGCCAGTCTGGAAGCTAGGCTAGTAGACCTTGAGAAGGCTATCAACAATCTGCCAGAACAGTCACGTACCGGCTGCAGGGATGCCCCAATTGCCAAGCACCTGGCACCTTCGACAAATGACGGTGTCATCGTTTATCCGACCCACGAGGAAGGGCCTTACTATGCCTTCAACCGAGGATGGGAACGTGTATTCTCCAAGAAGCCCAACGAGCCAGCCACCGGCCTCTACCCTCTCATCACTCGTGGTCGGCATGGTGTCATTTTGGCACACTCCTGGGCAAAACACTTCGCAGCCGAGGTCGAAGCAGACCAGAAGCAGTTGATACTGCTTCGTGTTGAGCAGCTTCTCTTGCTGATACAGGAAACGTACGCTGTTGTCCTCTGAGCTCATTTTCCATCTGATATCAGCCAGCATCCCCTGGATTATCAACGCTAAAGCTGCCAAGTCTGGGAAGAACGAGGGGCAAGCTGGTGATTCAAACGCGGTACGTCTCTATATTTGTACAGCATCTGTCATTGATTCTCTTCCCAGACGTCCAAGGCCAAGAAGGAGCTCACGACAGCAGAACTCCGAGAACGTGCCAAAGCAGCAGCGCTCAAAGCAGCTTCTGTGGTTGATGTTGATGAGGGTAAAGCAGAGGTCGACTTATATCTTGGCAATCTTTCTCCAGTCAAGGCTGATTTCGATGATCCTCTTGGCTGGTAGAAGGTTTGTACACTAACGCTATCTCTCGGAGCAAATAGACTTATGCATTTTCAGGAGAACAGTGGGACACTAGCTGTCTTAGCTAGTGTCGCACGGGATATCTTGGCCATTCCTGGTGTTAGTGTGTCTGTTGAACGCCTATTCTCCAGCCTGAAGCATACCATGTCTGATGTACGCTCATCAATGACAACGGAGACAGCGTCAATCGGTATTATTACGAAGGAATGGCTCAAGTCAGGTTTGGCAGATGGTGTTGACTACTTACAATATGTTCGCATTCAAGACAACTAGATTATATTTGAATATATTCATATCATATTGAATATCTGTGAGGAAATATGAATATAATATACTACAAATATAATATTCTTCCAAGTAGGCAAATATGATATAAATAAAATATAATATCTGAATTGCATATTATATTTGTATTTGGCCAGCACTAGAAAGGAAAGGGGAGAAGCGCGTGATAGTCATTTCATATAGGCCGTAAGCGCTCGGGGATGGTGAAGCCGGACCCGGTGATCGGCGATCGACTATCATCTAAATATCCGTGGCTGGCAGTGGCTGCCTGAAAGTAGGTGTTAAGGTGCGATGCCGATTTCGGTGAGTGGTCGCTATGGAGGGTAGAAATTACCGTAGAATGCAGCAAGCACCTTCCATCCAGAAAATTAGAATGTCATTCGGATCATTTATCCGATCACATGACATACATCAACCATATGACACGTAAGCCTCTTTTCCTTCCTCTTCCATCATGGCCCTGAGTGTGACCCCTCCAGAACTCTGGCTTGAAGTCCTCAAAACCCTCCCACGGGCCGATCTCATCACCACCTATGCAACCAACCGCGCGCTTTCCCGCCTGACGCGGCCTCTGCTCTTCGCCGACCTTAGCCTGCCGGCGTACGGGACTGACGGACACCCAGCGAATGAGCTGTTTCTACCTCCAGACGAGGAGGTGCAATATCTGCGCGGGAAACTGGGGTTCTGGACGTCACCTGCGGTGGCCCCGCTTGTCCGCACCTGCCGCGTGTTTACTTGGCGCGCGGCCGATAAGGAAGAAGACGAACTTGGCTATGCGGAGGATGACGACGAGACATTGGAGCTGCTTAACCTGCTGCTGGACAGCCTTCATGTCTTTACCAACCTCTGGCAGCTTTCGTTCGAGGGGGTAGTACTGCATACCCCTGCACTTGTCAAAATTGCCGCTACCCCTGCCCTCCGCCAGCTGACACTTCGAGACTTATCGCCCTATGGTGACACGAAAGACTTTGTCCCCACGGCGCCTCTCCCCCCATTGACGCACTTCGCCTACCTTGAAGGAGAGGACTACGACGAGGACCTTCTTGCTGGCTGGAGGCACTTTCTGGATCCCGCCCATCTGGTGTCCCTCAGGCTCGAATGCGACCTCCGTGCATTTACCGACAGCCCAACGGTAGTACCGATTTATCCTCGGGTCACATTCCTCGACTTGCTTCCGCCAAATGAGACCGTGTCTACGTCGGCAGTCGTAAAGCTGCTTCTCAAGTTCCCCAACGTGGTATATCTGGCCCTGCCGCGCCAGTTCGACGGACTAGGAGATGACGACAAGGATGCCCTAAGGGATGGGATCACGCAGCGTCTTGCGCGGGTCACGCAGCTCTCACTACCGCTAGGAATCACTGCCGCCATAGTCCCACTGGCTAAACAACTCACAACTCTGTCTCTCAACCTGTCGACGACGACGGTGGATTTGGCGTCCGCATTGACCGGACATGTCTTCGAAGGAATAATGACACTTTCCCTAGATATCGCGGAGGAGGAGCCTGATGCTCATGTGCTCTTACCGGCAATTGCTGCGACCTTCCCCGCCCTCGCCCGCCTCCGCATCGATATTTCCGCTGTAGTGATTCCCGAACAGAAAACGCGTGCTACTGTGGTGAGGCCCTGTCCAATTTCCATAATGCCCGACTGCTGATTTCTTTCCGCTAGGCGACCAACTTCCTCACGGTGCTCGCAACGCCGGCGCTGCTTCCTCCGCGCACCACCACCCTCGTCCTCTCCTGGCAGATCGACATTAAGGGCAGGCGCTGGTGGGATCCGGTCGAATACGCGACCCATGTGAAGATTGACTTCCGCGCTGCGCTGGATGCTATCCTCTCCGCCTACCCGCGCCTGCACCATTTTTGGTTCCATGGCGCTTCGTTCTTTGTCAGCACTAGGCGTACAGCGGACGGGGAGGTGCTTCGGCAGCAGTCCGTGGAACTTGATGCGCGTGGTAAGCCGTCAGTTTGTGGGGCTTTGGTGCGAATTGCTGATGGAAGTGTAGAATCACTAGATGCGGATACAGGGCCCGAGACCGCGCGGATCGAAGTGGAAAGGATGAAGGCGGAGGCTACCAAGTTCTGGGAGGAGAATCGATGTGCTTGATACAACTGGATTCGATGAATATACCGTAGATCAAGAGTCAAAATCTTGTCCCTCAGAACTCTGATTCCACCACGACAACAACAACCGGTTCCAGCGTGAACCCCAATCCAACGCCTGCAAACAGCGGATCCAGTGCCGCGCGGACGTCGTCCTCCAGGCCTGCTCCGCTGACCGTATCGTCTTCTGATTCCACACGCACGCCCAACACCACGGATGGTTTGAATGCGGTCCTGACCCACCCGGCAAGCACCTGTACTAATGGGCTGAGCATATTCGCAAAATTAACAGCAAAGGCATCGTCGGGATAGCCCGCGTCCTCCCCGTCCTCGTTGTCCACGATAGTGACATGCAGTCGGACATGTCCGATGTTAGTGGTGGGAGGAATGCAGGCTATCAGCGCGAAGAAGCCCTCGGCGTTGGCAGCCGCGGCCGAGACGAGGCCATGTTGGATGGTTCCCGATACCTCAACAGTGTGCAGCTTCATGAGATGGCGGATGTCCATGAGAGCAGTGTCGTCACCTGAGGGGCGAGGTTAGCAGCGTCGATTAGGGTATATCGCGATTCACGGACCATCGGCGACATTCACAGCTCCAGCAGAGACACGGAGCACGTTCAAATCGCGCGTGCGGCAGATGACAGATTCCTCAGGGCGGCGCAAGTCGTCCAATTGCTCGACAGAGATGTGTAACTCCCGCAAACCCGCCCAGTCGATGATTCGCGGAAGAAAGTCCACCGTGGACGGCCACATCAGCACTTTATCAAGCACTAAGGATTCAAGGTGTAGCGCAGAGAAGCCGTCCGGTGTAGATTCATACAGATCGGCGCTAAGCCACACATGCCGCAGCGAGAGGCTGCGTAGCGAAGATGTACCGCGAGTGCCCGCCAGCAGCTCAAGGAGCACCTCGATCTCGGTGAAATTGAGCGTGAGCGCCCGCATGGTCGGCAATGCTAGGATCGTCGCCAGGCTTGCCCGCGCCCCCGCATCGAAGTCGCCCCAAGTGAAGCTCGTGTCGTGATCGATTTGACAATCGATGACGAGCTCTTTGAGGCGCATGAAGCGCCCAATGACGACGGAAGCCAGAGGATCCCGCACCCAATCAGAGTTGTGGACCGTGATTTTCAGATTGCGGACATAGGTGGGGAGGTGCGGCGAGTTAGATAGCAGGCTATTCAGCTGCTCGAGGAGCGGCGGCTCGGACTCACTGAGGGTTGGGGGCAGGATAGTGAGTGAGTTAAAGAGCTTTTTTTGAGACAAGACGCAGACGGTCGACGATACGAGGGCGCAGGACTTGAGCGTTTTGCTGTCGTCCACACAGTCGATTATGCGCGGAAAGCTCGGGAGGGATGTTATCTGCCAGTCGTTAACACCTGTGAAGCAGAAATGTGTATCCCCGGAAACCTACCAAAAGGCATTGTGGTGGTTGGGGAAGAAAAGGTGATTGATGAATGTCACTAAGATGTCACGGGCCATGAGCATGATCCTCGTTGACTGATGATGTGAAGTCACAAGGGGCCAAGATCCGGGGTGAGACTTGGCGCGAGAAGAACTTTTGCTATATATATATATGTGAGCGGGAGCAGGTTCTGGAAGATTTCAGATTCAAATTTTCTCAGAAAAAGTCAATATGTATCCATTGAAGAAAGCTTAAGCAAAAAGCGGAAAGTCGTTATTACGGTATGCGCGTGGCTGGGGCGAACCGGCGGCTTGTGATGGATTGGTATTATGTGATGGATTGATCACCTCGCTACTTTATGACACACGCCTCGGGCTTCGGACATCCGGACCCCATCTCTGAAGACTGAGTCAGAGGACAGCTATATAAACCTAGAAGCATCTCCATGTACACACTCTTTCTTACCCTTGCAATACTACCTAGTTAGTTTCTGAACTCTGTGTGATCTCAAGTCGTCATTGACACTTACATCACATCTATCTTCCAGGGGCAACGGCTTGATCTTGTCTTACGGAAGTAGTCCAGATCTCTACAATGGCTTGACCTTGTATCAATCTGTCAGAAGTTGGACACTCAGCGTTGGATAGTCAGCAAGGTTTGGAACCATTTATCTTACACATCTTATCTTCCTAATCATCTGATCATTGATCACTGATCCAATCGGCACCCGATCTTTTACACTGGTGGACTCAGCCGGAACCTTGATATAAGACTATCAATGTGATGTCTACTACAATAACTACCGGAAGGGCATGCTCTTCTTCTCATAATCGCCATTTCCCGTACTCTGATCATCCCCCATTATCTTCTCAACAATCACATGATGATGATGCTCTCTTGGAACCTGTCTCTGATGATCTTCGCGCCACGCATCCACTCTTGGAGATGTATGGACCACTTGACAATGACCAACTCGACTTGTCCGTTGATCCAAATCGACAGGTGATCAGTGTACCTACATTCAGTGCACAACAAAAAATCTCTAGTCAGAAAAGCATGGTCACTAGGCAACAGGAGGCTCTAACTCTCGGAGCTCCATTCATCAAGAAAGACTACACCCTAGATCCTGATTGATATCTGGACGATATCCTGTCGGAATATCTGAGGATATTTGTTGTAGATATCTTGTTGTAATCCCTTGAATATCCACCAGGAATCCTACTGCCAAATCAATAGACTCTATGCTGATCCAGGGCTATAATCTCCTCTGGATATCTTTCCAAATATCAACCAAGACTCTCATTAGATTTTGCCATCAAATCCCTGCTCAGCTATTATGTATATTACTATGGGTCTCTCAAGGATTTTACGGCTAACTGTGCTCAGATATCCAGATTGATTCGGAATTATTATACAAAACTAAGCCAGAATATCATATCCATTACTCAGCACTGTCTCCATTCTCTGTTGCCCCGTCCCAGATTGCCCACCATTGTCCTTGTCACCCTCTCGTTCATCATCCGACAGCTCATGATGTGTCCGCTTACGGCCAGCACCTGCGGGATTTGTAATCTTTGGGCTCTCGACTCTTGTTGCTAATTTCCGAATGCGCTGCAGCCATTTGTGCTGTGGGGCCCGACATTGGTATCAAAGTGTACTTCCTTGGACAACTCCCCGTACTGCTTGATGTCCGCTTCAAAGTTTCCCTGCAATGCGCTGCGAAAACATGAGTGACACAGGTCAGAACATACGATGAGCCACGTACAAAAAATATACACCCGCATCAGTGTCAGACCGAAGTTCGTGGAGTTGTTTGTCCAAAATCGGCCAGAAGTCTCAGCCCTTGTTCAAAGTGAGTTGAGTGCGCTGTATGGACTGTCAGCACAGATATTATATTAGGAAGTGCACGGTCATACCATCAGTGCTAAACGCCAAAGAAACTGTAAGGTAAGCGGGCTCTCGATTCCCCAGCTGGCAAAGAGCTGGTTTCCGAGGCTTGCGATATCCGAGCCAGTGGCATCAATTGCGAGGGATGATTGAATTTGTGGGTGAAACCGAATCAGACTGGGAAAGACATCTCGAAAAAACACACGAACTTTTTCCTTAATGGCGTTCTTGGCAACCGAAAGCTGATGGCCGACAAGCTTCTCAAAGGCCTTGCTGACACTCTGTGATGCATCTTTGCCGGGGACTTTAGCAACTTTGTCCTGTCGCATGGCGTCCTGTCGGAACTGTGAGCGCAACGATGTTGAGTGGAAAAACACGCACGATGATAACTGCCTTCAGATTGCCTTCATAAAACTTTGTATTCGGGTCGACAAGAAAGCCTCGAGCATATTTACGCTCCTCAGCCTGTCCAGTGAGAAGAGAAGGGCAAATGCAATTGAGAAAGCATACCGTCAGCTCGCTATTACTCTCAGTGAACTCTTCGGTCTTCGGTTCAAGGAGCATATTCTTTACCTCCCTGATCTCTCCACGCAGCTCAAATATTGCCAGAGCTTGTAGATTATCGCGTTCATATGAGTTCGTTGCCTGCGCAAATGTTTGATGGTCAGCAAGCACACAAGCACGAAATGCCACTTACCCCACAGATCTGGAGGTATTCACGCTCGTGTTGAGGTGCAAGTTTGACCCGTTTAAGTTGGCGCTGACCAAAGGATGTCAGATCAGGAATGCGAGTTTGCCAGCTGGCATTGGAAGTCCCAGAAATAGACTGCATTTTGTCGTCATCGCCCATGCCACTCCGACTGCTGCCCGCGATTGGCAATGAGCTGCGGAATCCATGACCGGGGCTTGACGGAGGAAGATCGACCTGTCAGGGGAACCCCTGCTTCGGCCTCCTTCGGACCGTCCGAGCACATCCGAGGCACATCCGACCGGCGCCCCCTCGGACGCTCCGACCCACCCCGACCATCGTCCATGGCCTCCTTCGCCCGCACAATCACCGATGCGTCAAGACCCTCCCAACAATCACCTTGGGACAGAGCCTGCAACGCCGCTCAGGCCTTCTGCACTCTACGTCAGCAGTTACGGACGACCAGTATATAGTTGGCGCCCTAGCAGGCGGACCCTTAGAGTTTCTTCTCTTTGGATCCTCCCCTGCTAGGCTTTCGTCGGAGTCTCCAGGGTTGCCCTTACACGACCTCGGCAGCCTTTTTGGCGGCAGCAGCAGCAGCAGCTGCTGCTCTCTGGCGACCAAGTTCAAGGAGCGAGGGCATTGGTGTGGTAAGAGAAGAGAGTGTGTATGTGACACGTCACAGGGTCGCGTCGCTGACATACACGCCCCCTCGTTATCGCGATGCCGTCAAGCACATCCTCTCAGGCGGCTTCTGGTGGTGCAAGGGAAGCGAAAAATGGGTCCAGTCCAGCCCTGAGACACAGCAGCTTTTGCATCTTGACCCCGACTTGCAGCGTCATCTAGGGTGGGCCCCTCCATCGAGCGAGAAGCCTGGGTTCATCCAACTTCTTGGTGCCCAGACACATCCGGCATTCGGCTGGTCACAGACCAAAGCAAATCAGCATTGGTCTGGCAGGGGAGAACCACCGGGGCAAACCTTGTTTCGCCGCGAACTTTATGTCCTTTCGCAAACGGGAGACAAGGTTAAA